TTTTTTATACATATCAAAGATGATGTTTCCTTCTTGAATCATTATTTTAACGTCTAAAAAATTGATACCGTTTTCATCGCCAAAATCAACCGTAAAATCAATGTCGTGGTATGAATTAAATAAATCTAGAACCTCCTCAACCTTTTCCTCATGTACAGCTAACACAATGTCATCGACATATCGCAAATAAAACAGAGAGATAATATTATTAGTAGTGAAAATTTCTTGTTCTAAGTCTTGTAAGACTATATTCGCTAGTATAGGCGATAGAGGAGAGCCCATCGACATGCCAAAAATTTGCTTAAATATTTTTTTGTCAAATTTAAAAAACGTGGAGTTAATTATGATCATCACTGCTTTAACAAATTCATGCAAAGGAATCGAAGTCTTATTTTCAATCAAGTTCCATCTACATTCAATGCTTTTTAATACTAAGTTCGCAGGTATGTTAGTGTACATGGAGACCACGTCGAATGATATGATTTTAAAATTTTTTCCGATAACCTTTCCATTAAGCTTGTCAACCAAATCATAACTATCCTTAACATAACTGAAATTATTATTATTACTTTTATCAATAATTTCTTTTAAGAAGGTCGCGAGTGGATAAAAGGCGCTATTAATGCAACTGACAATTAATCTTAGTGGATGACCTTCTTTATGAATTTTTGGCAGTCCGTAAGATCTCGGAAGTTCGCAATCAGAAACATATAATTTTTTGTATATGCTTGGGTCAATGTACCTCTTATTTTTCCAATTTTTTAATAAATTCCTAATTTCTAAATTTATCTTGTTTGTAGGATCTTTATCTATTACCTTATATGTCGTCTGATAGTTAAGAATTTCATACATTTTTTTTCGATAATTTTCACGATTCAAGATTACTGTGGTATTTCCTTTGTCCGCTTTCGTGATTAACATCTCAGGATTCTCTGAGATGAATCGTTTAACCTCTCTTACACTCTCTTTCACAATTTTGTTTTCAGCTGATTCGATATCACAGTTATTAATAGACTTGAGGATGTAAGATGTCTCATTTCTGACCGATTTGCAAATATCCTCGTCAGCTTTAAACAAATTATGTTCAACGTGTTTAATGAACTCATGTGTAATTCATTCTTTATTCGTTAAATTATTAGATAAATTAAAATGCTGACCCAATTATAAAACTATTTTAGCTTTACTTGGAATGTCAACCTCACTCAGATTAATGAGCCATTTCTCGTTAGTATTTGAGATATCAAATTTTGTATTAAAGCTACCAGGATCGATCTTGATATTGTAAACCGAATCTGTTTTATTTGATATCATTTTATCAAAAACATTTTTTGTAATCAATATTATGAAAAAATTTAATTTATCATTTTATCAAAAACAGTTTTTGTAATCAATATTATGAAAAAATTTAACAAGGTAGCATTGCAAATAAGCTTCGCTGTGGACGATCAAGAAAGCTAATTGTGAGAGAAGAAAAGACGATTATTATATGGAAAATCAAACAAGATCCTTTCACTTCTAAATCACAATTGGCATTAATGGTTACGTTTTCCAAAAAGAAGTACAGAATTGTGTTGTCGACTGTTGCAAAGAAATGGTTTACATGAGTTCCAAGGAGAAAAAACCATTAGCAAGAAAAATAAAATTCTACATTTAAAATTTGCTAAAGAATTTATTAACAAAGACAATTCGTTTTGAGATACAATATTATTTTCAGACGAATATAATTAAATATTATAATTTTTTTGATAATGATATTGATTTGATAATGATGAACATAAAAGTGGAGAAAACAAAACACACAATTAGAATTGAAAATTCTACGGCCATCAATAAAATCAATAATAGTGGAATCGTAATGGCAAAAGCGTAATGGTTTAGGACTATATGGCAGCTAGTAGAGTGAGAAATCTTGTGTTTATAGATGGAATTTTAAGTAAAATGAAGTACTTACAATTTTACAAGACAATTTGAAAAACAATGTATTAAAATTGAATCCATCAAATAATTATTGTTTCCAGTACAATGAGTCCAAGCATTCAATGAAAATTGTCAAAGAATGGGTATTGTATAACGTCCCGCACATATTGCCACATCTACTAAAGTTTTGATTTAAATCTTATCGAGTTTTGTAGAGACTTGTGGAATGAGTGGAAAGAAACTTACGAAATATTATTACTCGAAAGAAGTATTAAAACGGGATATTATTGATATATGACACAAATGTTACTTTGAAGTTAGTCCAGTCAATGAAAAATCATCTTAGGGCTATAATAAAAGCAAAAGGCGGATCAACTTTTACATTGTATATTAAAATTTAAAATTATATATTAAAATTTTGGATTATCTGATTTAAATAACTATTAAACGTATCGTTATTAAATGTATCGAATATTTTTATGAGCCACGTATAATGCGTGTTTACAATAAATTTATAAAAACTGAATACATTGTTAAATTATTTTATAATTTTACTTGTAATCTTAAAACCTCTTTATCTCTTTTACATGTAATATTGTTTAAAAGGCTGCAATTTAATATTTTATTTCAATTAAATATTAAAAATATAATTTAATATAATATTAAAAATATAATTAATTCTAATACTTTCGTGTATGTGTGTGTGTGTACCTTAGATTGTATAATATACATATTTTTATATATTTCGTACTGATTACAATTGTTATATTGTAAATTCATGAGCATAATACCATTATAAGTTTATATGTTTCCATTTATATATCGATTATAATGTATATAATTTATTATATGCAATTATTCTACACAATAAATAAGTTTGCTATTCAGTCATTTCTGTCATAACGTCCTATATACTAATCGAAAATATCAAATTCATCATCATTTCTTCTTCACGAGTTGTACACGTATATCGGTTACTATTTATTTTTCAAAGGTATTGTTATTTTCTAATCATATTTTTTTGCAATATTTTTTGTTTTGTGTCTCATTTTTATTTATCCCCCCCCCTTTATCCAATATATTTTGTATAAAATTATCGCTCCAATACATTTAATAAAAAATTATTAGTTATTTATTTTTCCTCTCTGAAACATGCCAGTATGTTGTCAACTTCTCCTTCCCCAGCCTCTCCTGTTTGTTTTATTTTTACGCACCTATAACTAAAACAGGAATAAGGCCTGGCTGTGACCTGACAGAGTTAGACACGTGTTGGGACCCAAAACTACCGTACCGTAAGCAGGGAAATAAACGGATTTTTGCATCGGGGTCTGTGTTGACGGATACTGCAATGAGAAGACAAAATCATCCACCTTTAGATAATACGACCAATAGTTACATACCACATGATTCTAATTTATTTCCTCCGACTGTCACGATACATAAAGGCCGTAAGGATATCATATTATATAAAAATATTTGCAATTATAGTAGTTATGTCATTTATATTACTTTATTTTCTTTTTCTTTATTATAAACAGAAATTATATACCATCCACCTATGGACGAAAGTGTGCTTTATAAAACGCTGAAAAACGAATGCGAACCGTCAGTAATGTTCGCAATTAATCATAATCTTTACGCATATGTGAAAATAACTAACTGTAAGTATAAATAAATTATATTGCCAATATATCTGTAAGAATCTTATTCATATGATTTGTAGTAAATTGCTGCGTAAACAAGATCTGCTGGAATGTGACATCGAGAGGTCTTGCTTGTATTGGTCAGGATGAAATTATTTTATTAGTTGAAGTTTTGCCAGATGAAACACGGATTCCAAAGGACCTTCTCACATACATTAATCAATTATATCTCGAAGCTATTAAAGGTAATATCTCGTATGTGTACATAGAGAATGTATATATTATCACTTGACATATATTGGGAGTACAAATTAGTTCGGTCCGTTTTCCAAAAGATGGTTCCGGTTGTGAATGGTTCATAGTGATAGCTGATTTTGGCGTTTTCAGAGAGGTTAGACATCTGCTGATAATATTCAGTTTATATCGCTTTGAGTTTCATACAAAAACCTTGATTTTTACTGTGTTTGAAATGTCAAATTTTGTGTTAACCAAACACCATTTGCGGGAGGTTCTAATTTTCTGCTTTAATTGGAAGAAAAGTGCAGCTGAAGCCCAATGCTCGAATGCTTGTCGAAGTTTATGGTGACACTGCTCCAACTGATAAATCATGTAGGGAATGGTTTCGACGTTTCAAGAATGGAGATTTCAGCGTTGAAGACAAATCTCGCTCTGAACAGCCAAAAAAATTCGAAGACAAAGAATTAGGGGCATTCACTCGAAGAAGATCAGAGTCAAACGCAAGAGGAGCTTGCAGAATCATTGGGAGTAACTCAACAAGCTGTTTCTGCACGATTGAGAGCCATGGGAATAATTCAAAAACAACGAAATTGGGTACCTTATGAACTGAAACCGAGAGACGTTGAAAGGCGATTTTTCAACGAACAGCTGATTCAAAGACAACAAAGAAAAAATTTTTTGCATCGGATTGTGACTGGAGATGATATTCTACGACAATCCCAAGAAGAAAAAATACTACGCTAAGCCTGGTCAATCGTTGCCATCGACCTCAACATCAACACCAAAGCCGAACATTCATAGTTCGAAGATCATGCTCTGTATCTGGTGAGACCAAAAGGGTGTTGTTTACTATGAGCTGCTGAAACCTG